TCATACAAAAATCAACACTTGGACCAGTTTACTGCATATTCACAAACTTGACAAGTAGACATTACATAATTTTATTCATTATATATGAATACTTATTACACCTATATCAATTCATTCAAACTAGTACGTTTCCATTTAATATTCTTATTACTTTCTTACTACTCACTATCCCAGATTTGACGTGCAACTATTCAACTGAAAACAAATTGCAATTTCATGAGGAAAAGTATTAAAAACGGTAGACCCAACTGGTTATTCAGTATAAGAAATCTGAAAATTATACTAGTTGTTTAAATAGTTACAAATCCCAGATCTCTATAGAAATTAATGAAAAAATGTGCAATTTGTTAACAATTCAAATAAATACTTGCCACTGTTATGGTTAGAAGCAAAGCTAGTAGCAAATAGCCAATGTTTGCTACTAGTGACCTATTTAAAACATAGTAACCTTTGGAATAAGTGTTAGTCTAAAATGCAGTAAAAATCAGTTTCCTCTTGTCATTCCAAGCCCATAAGACTAAGATATTTGCTGACACATGAGAACAGCCATGGTTTTTGCAGAAGCTGAAATGTTTGTGTGACGCAAAAACAAAACATTATTTATTTTAACTTTTACAACGTATTTATGGATTTATAAAAATATATATCCAGTTGTGTTTCGAAGATTAATGAAAGTCTGGGTTTGAAAAGTAAATGATGACAGAATTTCTCATATTTGAATTAACGCTATTTCAGATTGGTCACCCAGGGAATTCAGCTGTTTTCATATTTCAGTAGGATTTACATGAAACAATTTTCACACAAATAATTACCAAGTTAGTGCTGTCAAACGATTAATCACAATCGCATCCAAAATAAAAGTTTTGTTTACATAATATGTGTATGTATTGTGTATATTTATAATGTAGGCTATATATAAATACACATGCATGTATATATTTCAGAAAAATATGTTTTCTATATTTAATATATATATAAATTATATGAATATAAATATATAGACATGTAAATATTTTCAAATATATATACTGTATATGTGTGTATTTATATATACATAATAAATATAGACAGTACACACACACATATGTTATGTAAACAAACACTTTTATTTTGAAAGCGATTAATCGCGATTAAACGTGCATTCACGCCATATCGGAATTCCCGTAATTACAGATTCCAACTTGTAAAAAGCGTTCACGTCCTCGTAGAACTCGTAGTTCACTCTCATAGGCTCACTTCGATGCTGCGATGACGTCATCGCTTTGGGAACACCTTCAGTGTGATGAATGTCTGAAGCCCTTATACCATCACGCCAATTCATTGGCCAAATAGCGCATAGCACCGCCCCCAAAGCGCACGTAGGTGAGCTATATAGCGTGCTGCGCGCTATTTTCATCAGATTTCATTTCCTTCAGGAAGCGAATCATCTGTCGCCCGTAGGAAAGCATTCTTTTTGTCGTGTTCTTAGCTAATTCCCTCAAAAGAGCAGTTTACTCCTCTTCAGCGGACACGATGAGCTACAGGAGATGCATCGAGCCGTGTGACAGGTTCATCGCAGGAGGACACACTCATGACAGGTGCGTGCAATGTTTGGGCCTACAGCATGCCCAAGCGGCGCTTAGCGGCCTTTCTGATTGTCGACACTGTGATAGCCTTCTGCTAAAAGCACTGCTCGAGGTTCGCGGCCTTCTCAAATAAAGTAGGCCTCGCGTCTATCCCGTTTCTGCGGTTGCCGAGGTGCCGCACGAGACGGTCGCTTGGGGTGACGCATGCAAACTGAGGCGTTTAGAGGGCGAGTCAACAGAATTTTCTCCTTTTCTCTCGCTCTCTCCGGGCCATGTGCAATCGCTCGAAGAGCGCTACGGGGATCCCGTGGTCTTCGTTAATGATAATTTGCGGCCTACCCTGGAAGCTAGCGAAGCGATGTCTTTCGGTTGTATGCCGTACGATGAAGACGTGCTGTCCACAGCAGCCTCCGATTCGGAGGATTTATTGGGTGAACTGTGTAGTTCTCTCCCTCCGAGTGGACAGGAGAAACGCACTTCCCCGTCTTACAGTGAACTATTAGACGTTGTAACACGCGCTGTGAATAAGCTGGGGTTAGAGTGGG